GGCCCTCATGGTGGCACTCTGAGGGGTGACACTGAGGTCAGAATATCCATACCAGACACTCCAACCTCAGTGCAAGTTTGTAATCCTGACTCAAAGGCAGTGTCACTGAGCTCCTTGCCCAGCCACTGTGCCTGTGTAACAGGCTCTGTGTCACTGAGCTGACTGCCTGTGTGTGTGTAAAGGTGCAAAATTGGCTGTCTAGGGCGGCATTTGCCTCTGGTACGACCATGACCACATTTGTTAATGAATTATGAACATTATGTTGTAGCCTGTGCATGTGAGTATCTTCAAGGTACCACAAGCGCATAATGAATATAATACAATAACATGTGGATGTTTGCTTGCATTCAGTGCTCTAATGTATGCACAATCAAGGCATTGATGTAGGCCCATATGCTACATATAGATCAAAAGAAGCACCAGTAAAGCTGAGCACTACAAAACACAGACCAATCATCCGTATGTTTCAAACCTAAACCTTTTCTGATGGCTTTGGTAGCAGCACATTTTTCATCGGTAATACATTTTATAAACTGAACAATTGCACCAGTTGAGATAGAACTCATGTTAGAACATGTGCATAGAACTCATAGAACATCTGCAGCACCATGGCAGCTGTAATCCAAATAGAGGCTAAGATGGCAAGTTCCATAGCTGTAAGGGATAGGAGGCTGTAGCTCTACTTTAAGAATGCTGTTGGCTGCAGCTGTAATTGAATTATGCAGTCACATGTACAGCTGTACTTCTCTTGTAGCTGTTTCACCTGGCAAAGTATTTGCATTTGTGTACATTTAGTCCTGTGATTTAGACAGCCCAACCAGACAGCACAGCCAGGTGGATAATGACAATTTTCTATTATAACTGGAGACTAAGGTGGTGTCAGCTCTTCCCCCTGACAAACCTGAGGACTGGACATTGAAAGAACAGCAGTGGACTAATCAGGTCAGCCATTTGCTCTCTCGTGCTATTAGCATGTTGCTTGTAAGCAGATTTGCAAACAGTACACCTGATTGGCTTTCATCTCACAGTCTGAGTGCATCTGTGCAGGGGGTTGCATGAGGCTGATACTAAGTTATATCTAGGTGCTTACACTGGTTACATTTAAAAAATATTATAGTCAGGGACTATAGTGGTGATATAATAATGTCAGATTATGATTGTTATATGTGGTCAGGGGCGGACTGACCATTCGGGCAGTCGGGCACTGACCGAGGGCCCGCGGCCATCAGGGGGCCCGTCACCGTCCCCTCGCTGCTTTCTCAGAAACTGCACACAGCGCGCCGGTTTAAGTAGTAACCTGCATGCTCTGTTGCAGCTTCTGACAGCGTTGGAGACGGGAGGCTGCGTTTGTCGTTGGATCCAGGAATCAGGTCAGTATTTCAAAATATATATATATATTTTATGTTCCCAGTAGGGCTGCAACAACTAATTGACTAATCGATGATTGAAAAAGTTGTCAACGTTTTCAATCATCGATTATCGGCTTTCGATT